GGTTTCTTGTTATAGGTGTTAAACCCCAGGGCTCTTCACCATTCCTTGAAAAAGTCCCCAAGCCATCGGGCTGGTGCAATCTGGTACCAGTTCAGCAACACTTTTGAGAGAGAAACTTGTTCAGACCAGAGAATGCATTCTTCTCTTCTTAAATGGAGGTGAATAAAGTGATTGGTTTTAAGCATTTACATGGTGACTTCTGCATTCCAGAGACAGACCAATCTCATGTATTGAGCACTGGTTTCTTCCATTCATTTTTCCTTGCAGGGAGATGTGTCAGTCAAGTCACATTTTCTTTACACCACTAAAAATGAGGATAAAGGAACAGTTCCTTTAGTGAGTTGTTTTGAGATCTGCAGCTCAAGCTGCTTTGTAAGGCAGCCTTTATGGGAAGAGGATGCAAAAATTAATTAAGTGCTAACAGAGCACCCATTTCTATGCTTGTGGTCACACAGCAGTGTAGCTCCAAGTCTCCATTTAAAATACAGTTTTGAGCATTTTAAAAATATTTCCAATCCCTAGAGCACTTTTATCTCCTGTAGTATATGTATATATTGCTGGCTCTGCTCAGTCAGCGAGTGCAGAGCAAAATACAATTGTGTTCCAATATCTGCATGGTTCTGCTCACCGGGTCTGCTCTGGGATGGCCCATGGCATTAAGACACAGGTGAAACAGCCGCTTATCCACTTCTTTAGGCCTATAAATGTTCTCACATACCCTGCGATCAGTATGTTTGCAACAATATACACAAAAATTGAGTTCAGAACACTATAGCAACAAAACCCTCTCAAATCACCCAGCCAGTTAAAGCTGCTCCCTTTCTTCATCTCAGTTCATTCACACACATATATCCCCAACCCAATCCTACCTACAAAAGCAAAAAGAGATATGCCACAGAGCAAGGCTCAGAATAAACACTCTTACTCTGCATAAGGTCCAGGAGGAGAAAGTATGCATGTTTTCCATTTATGTGACTGCTAGCTTACATGCTACCTCTTATCTGAGAGGCAGGCTGCTGGTGCAGAGTGAGATAGGAGAATGAAGACCCAGGGTCTTATCACGTAAAAAGCTCACGTAAAATGCATGCTACATTGCAGCCACCAACATAAAAGCAAGCCACTTATCTTTATTTAATGAGTTGTGAACTGTGCAAGGACCATGAGCCCTTTTATTAGAAGATTAACTTGGTTTCTCACAGCACCAGATGCTGTATGCGTGGCTCAGTACTGAACAGGTTGGGCTGGGCGCTGTCTTCTTCAGTCCCTACTGCCCCCCAACCTTCCCCCCAGTACAGACCACAGGACAACAGGACAAATGTTTCCTCCACATTAAATCTTTATTATTTTTCTCAAGACAAACAACAGAGAAGTACTGTAACCAGACTAATGTGGTGCTTTTCAAACTGTGGTCCCCCAACTGTTGAAAACCATATAGAAATGAGCAGAAGAGATGATTACACCGAGCTACACAAACAGAAGTAAACTGATTTCTGCGTGCAGTAAAACAGGCTTCTGCACCTTTATGACTGATTGTAAAGTGTATGGTCAATTGTCTGGTATTTATTGTAAGAACCTGATTTTATTTTCAGCTGCTTATTACGCTGTCATAATCTTCATTTCCGTGAAAGATACCAGACCTCAAAATTGCCAGAAAACTCTGGCTAAAGCTGCTCTGTCACTTCCAACAGCAACAGGTAAAAAAGAGTGTTTTGTGAATGATAATTCTGGTAGAAGTTTCCTGGGGAAGCTTTAATATTTCTACGTTTTAGGAACTACTTCCTGGATTTTCAGTCAAAGCAATAACCAGGCTGTGCTGCCTTCAATGCTGCCGTGGGCAGCCCAGCTGGCCTAAGCACCTCTACAGGGCAGTTCCAGTAGAGTATAAAAACATTTTATACCTGTAATATATAGTGTAGCATGGGGAACTAGACTGCCCGAATCAAGTGCAAAGATAGACCTAGGCGTCCCTCTCACCATCCAGGATTGATTCAGAGATCATCATTTAAGCAGGCAGGGAGAGGTGGGTGCTTACAGCTGGCAGACACGACCAGTGAGAATCTGAATGTGCTACAGAGACAAAGGAGAATGCATTGGATGAATACTTAGGACCTGGACAGAGAGCCAAAGGATTGCAAGAACCAGAGAAAAGACCAGAGCAAAGGGAGGAGTGAGGTGTGTGAGGCACGCCAAGCCCAGCCGGAGGGCTGAGGATGTTGGCTGGGCCTGCCTGGGTGAGCGAGGGGGGAAGGCTGGCTATGGCAGCTCAGGAAAGTGTGCTTACGCTTGCTTGAGAAGAGTACGTGTTTAAGACAAGAACCTGAGGAGCAGATGTTGCAGTGAGCTGAATGAGGAGGGGCAGAACAAGGGAAAAGGATGGTGAGGTGAGTGGGTGCTTGTGAGCCCGCTGGCGCTCAGACCTGAGTGGCCATGTTCCTTGTAGGCACGGCTCTCCCAGCCCCTGCTGACTAAACCACTCTTTTTCGCTTTGAGTTTTTCAAAGTGAAGCAAAATCACATAAAAGAGAGAAGAATGCTGTTTAAGTCCATTCCCTACACGGGGAACGGAGACCTGAAGCCAGCTCTCCTGCTTCCCAGAAAAGCCTAGCAAGCAGAGAGCTTCTCCGCAAACCTTTAGCCTTCATTGATCACTGGACGTCGAGAGATTGCACAGGTGTCATCGAGGGTATCGCCTGCGCACCACTGGATTGCTCCAGGGTGATTCAGAGACCATGACCACCCCCTTCCATTTCTGCTAATGCTGTTGACACACCAGAAAATTTGCTTCGATTTCCGCCTCCTAAGCGAGAGGAAAGTGTCTTTTCCTCATATGCAGAATGAGGACAGGAAGAGAAGGAATCCCTCTTTTTTTTCACATTTTTAATATATATATACAAAGTATATGTATAATGTAAAAGCGTACTCATATGCTTTCAGAATACATTTTTTTGAGCATTTCTTTTCAAAGAAACATTAAAAAAATCCTACTCAGGTTGAATTAGAGGAAATAAATGTGAAATTTTACTTAAAGTGAGGATTATAAAATCAAGTCCAGAAAAATAAGCATTCTCTCTACAGTACTAAATGGCATTGTTTTGCCATTACCACAGGCAGAGAAGACCTACCTTACCAGAAAAAAAAAAAAAAAAAAAAAAAAAGACAAAACCCTAGACAAAACTATGCACTGTGTTTATAGCACAGCACAACATTCATCAGTGGCTTATACAACTGAAAGCAAAATGGAGCTGCCAGGCATTTCTCAGAGCAAAATCTGGATGTATGTCCATGGCTGTGCTGTCCCAGTGAGCTGTTACAAGCAGCATCCTTGAAGCCCAGGGAGAACAGCATTTACCTACACAACTGCATTAATTTTGGTTAATTTCCTAGTTAGTTGCCTGACACTCTCCATTTGTGGCTTTAAGTACTGATGTGTTTCTCCCCCCTGACTGCACCCAGAAGTACAATTTTCTGAATTTTCTGCTGGGATGAAACAGGTTTTCCTCCATGAAGCCACCACAAACAGAGATCATGATTTTGTGAAGAATTGGTGACAGTCCCAAAGGTAAAAGACCATTATTCCCCATTCTTGCCCCCCTCCCACACCTCCCCTCTTCCCAGCTAATTACATCCTGCCACTACTTTTGTCTAAGAGCAGCTCAAATTTTAAAGAATTGTGCATCTGAAAAAATGGACAGACAAAAGCTGTGCATGTGGCTTTGGTGTAAAACACCAGTAAAATTAAACCTTTAATATTGTTTGGAGGTAGCTGTAATGAACAAAAATATTTTCCACTTTAAGTCATATAGGAAATATACTAAACACTTAAATATAAACTAACAAATTTTATTTTCCAGCATGAGAGAACAAGAACCTCCAAAGCCCTGTCCAGCCTTCAAGTTGAGCCTCATACAGAGCAGTGTATAAAAGCAGCTGCTTTGTTAGACAGGTCTCTCAGCTATTCCACCAGGATGCCCAGTTAATGTTTTGCAAATATCTGGTTCCTATCCCGACTCAAATATTTCTCTTTTTAAGAAATATGGTTGTATGTATGTGTGTAGATATAAATATATACACACATGTGCAGAGAAAGAGACAGTGCACACACAGATCTATCTTACGTGAAATAAAGTGAGACATTTTCTGCAGGAATAAAATAAAGGGTCCTCAGCTCTTTGGATTTGGAATTCCTATGCTAAGATTTGAAATTTGAAAAACCTGTCATCAGGAAAACAAACTGAAAGGCTATACCTACACGAGCTCAACAGAACCTCCTGAACATTCTTTACAGAAGACGAGGGACTGTTTGCAGTCTGACATTTTTGCAGGCACGCAGACAAAGTATTTAGGCAGCGGAGTACCCGTGGTTCTCCTCTGCCTCCCTGTAAAGCTCATGCTAATGAACAGCAGCAAAGAATTCACAACTTTTTCATCGTTCCAATATTCTCAGAACAGGTTTCCTCAACTGTTTAGCCCCAAATCAAAGAAGGCTGAGACTCCCCTTTTGTCTTGACCTATTCTTTTGTCTTATAAAAACTGTGAATTCTTTGCAAAAGATAATCAGGTCCTGGACAAAAGTTACAGCAGAATTACTCAATTATTGAGAGTTATTGACTGTGGACAACTGGTATTTCAGGAATACATTTTTCCTAGTAAGAATCTCCTTACGGCCATAGCACATCTGTACTACAGCTTGTCCGAGGTTTTGCCAGCCAGAGGATTAGGGAGAAAAATTCTCTAGCAAGTCACTCTTCACTTTAGAAAGCCACTCTATACACAACTTACACATTATTTACTGAGAAGCACATGTAGTAATAGCTGCCTCACAGACTAAGTGGGAAGCACGTACAGGCATTGCATTCATTACCGTTGCTAATAAAATGGGAAGAAAAAAAAAAAAGTGACATTTTACTTGCCCATCTCAGAAAAACAGTCAACAGTCTCTAGAAAAGTCATTAATTGGAAACAGCATGCTGAGATGCATAGTGACTGTATTGGATTATTTACCTTTTTCAGGGTCTCCTTCGGGTGCACGACAGTAACAGCAGTCCATGAAGATAACATAGTTGAACACATTGAAGAACAGACCTGCGATCCCAACAATGAGGACAAGCAGAGCTTTCTCTGTCTTCTGAGGATTGATGTACCTCTTGATAGCCTCGATGAAGATGCTGAACATCAGAGCGACAGCAAAAACGGAGTTGCCGAAGGCTCCCAGCACATCTGCCCGGGAGAAGCCAAAGGTGTTTGCCTTGTGCCATCTGATGCGGCTGAACCTCACCCCAAGCAAGCCGATGATCATAGAGATGAGGTGGGAGAGAACTGCAAAGGCATCTGAAGCTAAGGAAAGAGAATTGCCAACGTATGCTACCGAGATCTCGACAGCAAAAAGGACCAGGCTCACAAAGCACATGAAGATGAGCCTGCTGCTCCTGCCCGAGTAGCGACCCATTCCTACTGCTCCCTGTCCCTGCAGGTCTGTGGGACCGAGCTGCGTGTGGGACAACTGCCCTCTGCGCTTCTGCCCTCCGCCTGTCAGTGTTGCTCACACGTGGGAGCCACTTTTATAGGCAGCGGTAAAGCAATAAATCAGTCTAAAGGGCAGCTTAGTGAGATTCATCATGTGAAGGCAGCTTGAAGGCTCCACTCCCGTGAGTGCTCCACCCTCAGGAGACATTTTGGTCCTGCAAAAACAAAAACAAAACAACATAATACCAGGAGCACTGGCACCATCCGCTGTAGAAATGGATCCCTGGGATTCTGGGCAGTGGCTGCTGTAAAGATGGGCCAGATCAGATCCCAATGTCTCAGAAAGAAAATAAGGCACAGAGAGGAGATCATATGGCCCAGAATTTTAAGCAATTAGAGAAAGCATTTCTTTTTACATAAAACATGTCCTCTGATACCTGTTTCAGCCATTTCTGTTGTCAGTAACTTTAGGTCTGAAAAGATCCTACGTACCTTTGGAAAAAGACATTTGAAAACCAAGCTGCATTGACGTTATTTTTAAGAACACAGTGAACACACACTGCTTGCGAGTGTAGTTGAAAACATCCAAAAGGCACATTTTGAAGACAAAGGAATTGTTCCTCCATTTTAGCAATCTACAGGTCTCAGCTGCTTGTACTGTTGGTACATTTTAACATTACCCATGGAAATGGAGCCAGGTTTGAAGCCATTTTCTAAATATGTTGCCAGTAGACATGAAGGTTGAACAATAAACCCAAAGTGCACTCTTTATTTGCTATTTAGAAATCCCTGCCCATCTCAAAATCCCATCGTAATCCTTTTAAACTTGCAAGGAAAATAAATAGATTTGGGGAAAACATGACCAGAAGTTAAAGGGAAAATAAGAGATACAGAAATCTTAGATTATATTTGGAGCCATTTCTGGAACAGAGTGAAAAGAACCTGAAGCAGATCTTCTTCTTTCCAATCACTGCAGTGACTGTTGAATTCAAGTATATGCCTTGCTGTTTTTGCACACTCCCAAATCAGAATGTTTAAGGAAATCTGTCCGCTAACCGCAAACTAGGCAGTATAGATAAGAACAGGTGCCTTCCTTGAAAAGTTTATGATCCAGTTTTTGTTTGGAAAGTTCATCTGTGTAGATACATACACACAGTTAGTTACAAGATAAAACGGAAGGAAATGGCATGCAGCACCACCATAGAGAGATAAGATAATAACACTGATAACCTGAACTGACCAACTGTCCTTGCTGGCCTTAGATTTACCCAGTTGAATTAACTTAAGGTCAAAAACTCAAACACTCACCCCCAATTTTCATTTATTTTTTGCTCACCGGGATTCAACAGCCAAAATATTTATGTTTAAAGTTCAGTATGCTTGCAGCATTGCCTGCCAACAAATGTAATTTTTAACACATGGTCATTTGTCTACCTAAACACTGCAGCTTCAACTCCTGAGGTTGGTTTTGTTCACCCTGTTTTCAGAACACCAGTAACACCTTTACAATAGCCAATAACAACATTAAAACTAGTACATGCTCTTCTTCCTCTCCCACGTGTACTATTTTATTCCAGCTATTTTTATGGTGCTTTCTTCCTTTTTCCATGAAAGTGATGTTCAACAAAATTATTTTATCTGAACTACATAGCATGAAAAGTGAGATTTTTTCAACTATTATTCTCCTTTCAATGAGAACAGGCCAAGTTCTAACTTCCGAGCTCTCAAAAGTCCTATCTTATACAAGGTTTCAATTACCAAAACATGAGCCCAAGCATTACCTTTTCAGCAGAGCTAAAGTGCTCAAGTGTGCTCTATTTTGTCAATAGAGAGCAGCACTATCACTGTATCCCACCTTACAAAGTTTAACCCAAACTTATCAACCCTAAGAACAAAGAAAACTATCTGCAATTCTGTTATAAAGTAGTATCAGTTAATCAACCACATGATGTTATTCTGATTCATTTACTTAGTTTCTAATAGATAATTTACCAAGAGATAAAGTTTTTTATACTGGTGTAATTAAGAGTGTGAATATTTCTACTTGCAGACAGCTCTGTTTGTGCTTTTAGTGGAAGGACACCTGAGACAGGACCATCTCTGCCAGACAGGCATTAGCCTCTCCTCTGTGGAAGATCACCACAGCAGATTCAATCACCTTCAGGTACTTCAAGTCCTACTACGAAAGAGAGAAACATGCCAGGGGGCTGCAGGGGAAGCTCTGTCTTCAAACCCATTACAGAATGAGAGCACCTCAGTTCTAAGAACAGCGTTGTCAACATGTTTACTCATGAATTTAATCAAGTCAACTGGTTGAAGGTTGGCTGTTTGTTCAAACTGATAAGGTTGCAGTATTTGAGACTGTATTTAGTTTTGCCTTTTCTTTGTTCTGTGCTATTAGCAGCTTAAACATCTAATTTTTAAAATACCGGTTGTAGTGTTTTGATGGGAGCTGAAACTGCTTATCAGTTCTTAACAACCTGTTTTGCTCTGCCAGAAACTCTTGGTGCTCTTCAGTCACTTATGCCTGAGGACACCGAAGCTGAGTGCCCAGTGTGTATGACAGTGTAAGTAGTATGCAATAGCTCTTAAAACTAGATTGATTTTGCCATTATGAGAGTCTGGGAGAACAACACTCCAGTCCTCCTACTAAAAGTTATCCTCAAAATACAGTTCCAGTCCATGCTAGAGGCAGGATACCAGGACAGAAAGGTCTTAGGGACACTCTTCTGTTAAGTCAGCTGTGAAAGAAGTTGAACATATAGACTGAGGTATCATTTCCCAAATCCTTTGCTAAATACCACCCTTGAGACTTTGTCTATATAGTGAGAAAAAAAAATAGATGATTTTAAGATGCAACCAACGCAAATCCTTTAGTACTAATCATCGTCAGAGAATTTCCAAGTGTTCAAGCATTCTGAGCAAGGTGGTCTGAAGTATTTAATAATTTTTGCAATTTTCTCGCAAAACCTGGGGTACGACCACAAGTGATAATATGCTGGACAAGCCACTGGTTCAATTTCATATTCAGTATTTTGACAATATTTTGAAAGCTGGCCACATGCATCTATGCAAAAGCAAACATTTTACATGTTTTTGAAAAGGTGAGAAGTATGAAGACCTGCACTGTAAGTCTCATATATGCTTAAGACTTTTGGACTATTGATACAAAAATTGTATTTTGGAAACAGGCAGAACAGGGAGACATGTAGTATTGATCTAGGAAGAGTCTGGGGAGGATCTTACTGGTGTAATTTTTTAATTGCCAAGTTTTCACTCAAATCTTCAGGACAAGGGGTTTAGGTAACCTTCCATCATGCAGCAAAATCAAGAATGAGGAACAAGCTAAGTATGCACCATTCAAAAGTTACTCTTTGGTGCTATTTATTGCCAGGACTTCCTTCTTTAAGCCAATCTTATGCTAACAATGAAAGGTTTTTTTCCTCTTCAAATCATTTCATACCTCTGCAACACCCAACCTTCTCTGCTAAAGCTACACACAGTAAGTGAAGGAAAAGAAAAGGGACTTTAAGGAACATGGCATAGATACAACCACAGTCTAAAATCTTTAGCGCTTAAAATACCTCCCTTCAGATTGCCTATGCATTACTCATTGCAGTATCACTGTGAGACAGCTATAAATGCCAATTTATAAGATAACAGAAACAGAACTTTGCAAAATACCTGCAATGCCATTAACCTGCATCCAGCTAACAATGTGGCATTTATTTTAAGATAGTCTTTCAAATGTGATTCAGGATGGGGTGGATATATTCTTTGAAACATCTGGCTCAAGAGGCAGTTTCCAAAAATAGTAGAATTTACCTTGCCTAAAAGTTAACAGCAAGTTTGTATTGAAAACTGAAAAATTTACAAGCTTTGAAGGCAAAACTAAAAGCAGTCATTTTATGTGTAAATTTTACGTAGGAACACTGAACTGGAGTGTTTATGATGTTCTTTCCAGTCTTTCAGACATTTTCTCAGAGTACAAGAAAATATGCACCAAAAATGAAAAAAAAAAAAGACAGACATGAGCAAGGTATATTCCATCCTTCCCATTCAGCAACATAGAAAAAACAACCAAAGCATATTACAGCTCACGATACATGTTTATTATTAGAGGTGTTTACAGAAAAGTCTGCGAATTACTGCTAGTCTAAGACTGACAACTGGGGGTGTTTATGGTTTATGGCTTTGTTTTTTGAATCATCTAAAAAGTCACAAAACTGATTAAGTTTAGGGGCTATTTCAGTCTTATTAAAAAAAGTTCAATTCACAGATAAAGGAGAAGGTGCTTTCAATAGCAGTTTAATAACTACGACCAAATAGGGTGTAAAACTTGGCAGGGTTTTTGCCGCAGACACATTTTGCCCCGCTCTGTAGTTCACGGAGAGGCTGAAAAGGTATGCAGAGACTTTTTGCTCCCATGGAGGGGGCGCCAGGCTCAAGATCTTGATCCCTGAAATAAAAGCATATTAATAAGTAAAAATCTTTATTTAAAAATGAAGATACAATAAAGTGTATTATGCATAAAATCTCAAAAACACACTAAATTAGACTGAAAGTTTCAAATCTAAGGGTGTAAGTATACTGTATTACACAGGACAGCAAGAGTCAAGGACAAAGACTGTACATGAGTGTTACACCCACAGGCATCTTATATGCCTGTTTTACATTCAGAACATTTTTATTTTGATCTTGGCAGATCCTCTCCAGTTTGGTTGTATTTTACCTGGCAGTGGTCTTCTTGATCCAATCCTCACACTCAATTTCCCCACAGAAAGGGATTTGTACAATCTGAAATGAAAGGGAGAAGGGGTAGAAAAAATGAGCTATGCATCTAGAAAAACTTCTCCTTGTCTCTGGAAGACTGGAGGACAATGTAGCTACTAAATTCTGCTTGCAGAATCATTTTAATTCTATCAATATTGTGAATAAGCTTTACTGATCTGTGGTTTTCGTTCACCAAATTTACGTTTACTTAGTGCAGAATTCTCAATTTGCCTTGAACTGGAGCACACCTTTAGTAAGCTTCACTTCATAGCTTCACTTTCTTGCAGTGAAAAAAGGAACCATTACCGCTCTAATTTTGCTCACATTAATCTTTTGTTAGTTAAAGTTTCAATACACATGCAATTATTCTTATAGTTTGAACTAAACTTTGCATGTAGCTTAAAAGAACACAGAAGTAGCCCATATTTTTAAAGAGTTAATAGCCTACATTTCAATTACAGTCAGCAGAATACAGTAACAGGAATTAGGCAGGAGTACTTCAGCTTACAAACTTTCTTCTTCAACCACAGCCAGTGCCAACAGTATAATTTGAAGAAATTACAGAATACATGTGGCATAAAATATCATGCATACAACATATAATGGTAGATGGGGAGTCATAAAATGACGAACTTCAATTTTCTCAATTAACTTAGAAATGTAAAAATATTTATTCATATTTCAAAGTTTATATATTAAACTATATTCAAGTTCTAATGTAATATAAATAGTAAAATTCCCTTGGCACTCTCTAGAATCTAGCTGTACATGAACCTGAGTACTGGATATTGAAGACCAGGCATTTTACACATTGGCAGACAGTATCATTTGATAATTCTGCAGAAGGAGAAAAAAGGGTATACCTACAGCATTCATGAAAATTAAAAGGTAACAATTTACAAACGTGTACAAATATACAATTAACTCCACATTGTACTCTTCCTTTTGGATTGAACTTGACTCTCCATTTAAACTGATTTTTACATAAAAGCATATTTTTTCCTCAACTGTTTCTTTGTCTTGAAGACTAGTATAGTTTAAAGGAGCGCTTATTTTGGAAGCATATCTTGAAGTCATATGTAGTAATACTACTCAGAGAACAGTAGTACTATTTGAACACCTATGTGGAGTAGAATTATTTGTTAAGCAAAGGCTAAAGATTTTTATGTTAAAATTTACCACCAGAATCATGAGATGCTTTAAAGAGAGCTGCTCTAAGGAAACAGTACTTTGTAGTCAGCAGGAAGAACCCCAAACCATTTCAAAACAGAGTATTTTACACTTCTATTTAGTTTTGTAAAGGAAAATAAGACAATACTAATACAGCACCTATGCACAAGAACGTCTAAAATATCCATATCCTCAACTTTGTAAGCATGCTAAATCAGTCCCACCTCTGACGTTCACAATCATTCCTTCAAATCTAGCTATAAATCAGATTCAAGTGCAATAGAAGCAAGAAAAGAGTGTGATCAAAAGTCAAGGCTAACTTATAAAACTATTTTTGAAGTCAACAAGAGTAACCGAGTTCTTGACGCTATCACTTTCCATCAGAAATTCTGAAGTTTTCAGAGTAGACCTAGTTGGTGTACAAAAAAAAAAAAAAAAACTCAACAACTGATCTCTCTATAAAATGCAGTCTTAATGATTGATTCTGAAGATTGTACTACTTGAATACATTCGTCTAAATATATGAAGAATTTCACAGGCTGACAGCCGGTGACAGAATTTCAGGGTTAATGGGAGCAGATCTCTAAAAAAGAATGAGGCTCAAATCTCTGGTGAAGATTTAATCACTCACCTAAGTTTCAAATGCTTTGCCAGAACTTTAAGTTTTTCACAGATCTCTAGCATGTCTATAAAGATAGATCAGACGAACTCAATCATCCACCATCATGGGTTATTCTTACTATCAACCCAAGGAGGGTTCTGATTCCCAGCAATTCTCAATGAACTCAATGGCTTCTACTCAGGTCATAAAGGCAAATCTTCTCTGACGTAAGTAGCATGTACTTTAGACTCTAACTTGGACGCTATCACAAGATTTGACAAGAGTTTTTCGCTGTTTTTATTAGCACAATGACAGTAGCTTATCTTAATCTGAATAAAATATTTACATTAATCTCTCTGAAAAGCACCTTCTAATAAAAATGCAAACACTTTAAATGCAAATTATCAAATTGCAGCAACACAATTCACTTCAAGGCACTCTCACCTCTTAGATAGCACTAGAATTTTACATCATATTTAATAAATACAGTATTTCAGCAAAAGAAGAAATAAATAAATTAGCTTGGAAAAGCTGATTTTTCCTTGTGCAGCTCTACAGGCAATGCTTCATCTGCTTGTTAGGGGAGAGTTCCGTAACAGCTACAACATGGATGGATGTATACACAGTCTTTGAAGCTTTTAGCCTTTGATTATTTGTAAGGGACAGGAAGGGTATGAAGGCACTTAGAAGGATTTTGGAATGAAGTAAATACCCTTACCTTTCCTGAATCAAGCTCTTTTTGAAAATCTTCCATATTATTGGCCACCACCATATGACTTTTTAGGTCCTCAGAAGCTCTAAAAATAAAAAAATATCAGTCACGGTAGGCTTATATACATAACCTCACTGGCTAACTGAACCAAGTTTTCAGAGCTAGCCAAAACAAAAATTACAAGAGAAGCTATATATTAATTTGAATCTTCCTAATCAGATTATGTTTTTCCACCATTCTGCCCTCAAAGAGATGAAATCTTGATTAATCGCTACTGGGTGGTGCAGTTAGCTGCATATTTTACTATGTTAATTCACAGTTGTGCACATCATTTCAACATTGACCAACTGTAGGCAGTAACAGAAATACTACAGGCAATTGTGTTTTATTTTGTTTTTTAAATTACATTCCAAATCTGAACAACAGAATGATTCTTAAATAGATAAACATATTCTGCTTGTAAACAACCTGATCACCATGAAAGGAAGTACATTCCAGCAGTCAAACTCATCTGACATGATGCTTGATCAGCCAGTTAGATCTTTCCAGGTGTGCTTGGGAACCAGAATTTGCAATAACAGACAGGCAGGGGATTTGGGATATGCAATAACCAAAGGTGACAGAACACTGGAACAGGCTGCCCAGAGGGGTTTGTGGAGTCTCCTTCTCTGGAGACATTCAAAACCCACTTGGATGTGTTCCTGTGTGACCTAATTTAGGTGTTCCTGCTCTGGCAGGCAGATTGGACTAGATAATCTTTCAAGGTCCCTTCCAATCCCTAACATCCTTTGATTCTGTGTGAAACAACAGTTTGAAAAGCATTTGATTTCTTATGAGAAAACAATTGTATGAAAGTCAAGAGGACATAGGGTCTTACCATACACTTCTGAAAATAGATCTTCAACTACTGAAGCTTCTTTGACAACTTTGTATCTTTCAAAATTCCCTACCAAAAGCACCTTTCGGAAATGAATCCCATACAATACCATCCAATTAACTATTTATGATATATACTTTTTTTTTTATCAATACTTTACAAGAATTCAAAGAAGTATTTTTAAAGTCAGTTCACAACCTTTAACATTGTGTTTCACAAGCACTTAAGGAAACTTCTGTCAATGTACGTGAACAAGTTCTGGAGGCGGAATATCAAACATCACAAACAGAAAGATGGGCCAAACCTGTCTTTCTGAACAGTCTAACCAATAAATCAAGAAATTCTTCTGACAGGTAAATTACATGTGTGATTAGCATAGCCATTTGTTATATCACTCAATTTACCTGTTATATAGGTTAGCGTGGATCTCCTCCAAAATCTGCTTCAGTTTATCTTCTGCCTCATGTTCTGAAAGAGTCAGCTTCTGTCCTGTATCTCTTCTGACAGCTACAAACTGTTGGCTTTTCATGTCTCGTGGTCCCACTTCAACCCTGACTGGAACACCCTTAATGAAAAAAAAGTGAGAAGTTACAATGAGTGATTCTCAGAGGAGTTAATATTCTTTCTTTTGTTTTTTGAAGCACAGTCCTAACACATTATTTTAAAAACTTAAGTTTCTTTGAAAAAAATCAGCACATATTGCACCGCTTTTATTAATTTCTGTCTTTCCCATTCACACTCTCTTGCTCCAGTCTTGTTTCGCTTTCAGATGTGTTTCGCCTTCAGATGTATGAATAAGAAATAGCAGTTCTGTTAAACACA